CACCCACACACTCACCGACTCACCCACCCACTCACTCACGCACCCACTCACTCACCCACTCACTCACTCACCCACTCACTCACCCACTAACTCACCCACTCACTCACTCACCCACCCACTCACTCACCCACCCACTCACGAACCCACTCACTCACCCACTGACTCACCCACTCACTCACCCTCTCACTCACTCACCCACTGACTCACCCACTCACGCACCCACTCACCCACTCACTCACTCACTCACCCACTCACTCACTCACCCACTCACTCACCCACTCACTCACGAACCCACTCACTCACCCACTGACTCACCCACACACTCACTCACCCACTCACTCACCCACCCACTGACTCACCCACTGACTCACCCACACACTCACCCACTCACTCACCCACTCACCCACTGACTCACCCACACACTCACGAACCCACTCACTCACTCACCCACTCACTCACTCACCCACTCACTCACTCACCCACTCACTCACCCACCCACTCACTCATTCACCCACTCACCCACTCACTCACCCACTCACTCACTCACTCACCCACTCACTCACTCGCCCACTCACTCACTCACTCACCCACTCACTCACTCACTCACCCACCCACTCACTCACCCACACACTCACTCACTCACCCACTCACTCACCCACTCACTCGTTCACTCACTCACCCACTCACTCACCCACTCACTCACTCACCCACCCACTCACTCACCCACACACTCACTCACTCACCCACTCACTCACCCACTCACTCGTTCACTCACTCACCCACTCACTCACCCACCCATTCACCCACTCACTCACTCACCCACCCACTCACTCACCCACTCACTCACTCGTTCACTCGCCCACTCACTCACTCACCCACCCACTTACTCACCCACACACTCACCCACTCACTCACTCGTTCATTCATCCACTCACTCACTCACTCACCCACTCACTCACTCACCCACCCACTCACCCACCCACCCATTCACCCACTCACTCACTCACTCGTTCACTCATCCACTCACTCACTCACCCACTCACTCACTCAACCACCCACTCACTCACTCACCCCCTTATCAGTGCCCTAGGGCAGGGGTCGGGAACCTATGGCTCGCGAGCCAGATGTGGCTCTTTTGATGATTGCATATGGCTCGCAGATAAAACAAAATATTCTCACTTGTTTTAATCCATCCATCGATTTTTCACTGCGCATGTCCTGTTCAGGGCTGCAGGAGCAATTGTCCATTATTTTAATTGGATGATACTGGCCTACGTTTGCCGTTGCTGGGTAAAACAGGTAAACGCCCCCTTTTGAATCAGTCTGAGACTGCGTCTGCTCGGTCATTAGCTCAAAGCTAACCCTTCGACGAAGAAGATGGCGAAAAGAAAAAAAGACGACGAGTATCGTACATTTCAGGACGAATGGACCGAAGAATTCGCCTTTGTGGAGAGAGCGGGTTCTGCGGTGTGTCTAATTTGCAATGACAAAATTACATCGTTGAAACGGTCGAATGTAAAGCGGCACTTCGACACGCGCCACGCTACCTTTGCATCAAAATACCCTGCGGGAGACAGCAGAAAGAAAGCGTGCCAAGAGCTTCTGAGCAGGGTGCAAGCTAGCCAGCAGCAACTCCGCATATGGACCCGGCAAGGTGACTATAATTCGGCTAGCTTTGCTGGTTCTTTAGCAATAGTGAGGAACGGAAAACCATTTACAGATGGCGAGTATGCTAAAACGTTCATGCTGGATGTAGCCAATGAACTTTTTGATGATCTTCCGAACAAAGACAAGATAATCAAACGGATACAAGACATGCCTCTGTCGGCAAGAACTGTTCATGATCGTACCATCGTGATGGCAAACAAAGTGGAGGAAACGCAAGTGAAGGACATAAATGCAGCGCCGTTCTTTTCTCTGGCTTTGGATGAGTCAACAGACGTGAGCCATTTGTCGCAGTTCAGCGTGATTGCAAGATATGCTGTTGGTGACACACTGCGCGAAGAAAGTCTTGCTGTTCTGCCATTAAAAGGGTCCACAAGAGGTGAGGATTTATTCAAGTCTTTCATGGAGTTTGCTCAAGAAAAAAGTCTACCTATGGATAAACTTCTCTCAGTGTGTACTGATGGTGCTCCGTGTATGGTGGGGAAAAACAAAGGATTTGTGGCGCTTCTCCGTGAACATGAAAATAGACCCATCCTAAGTTTCCATTGCATTATACACCAGGAGGCACTTTGTGCTCAGATGTGTGACAGGCAGTTTGGCGAAGTGATGTCGCTGGTCATTCGTGTGATCAACTTTATTGTTGCCCGAGCCTTAAATGATCGCCAGTTTAAAACACTGCTGGATGAAGTTGTAAATAACTATCCTGGTCTGCTTTTGCACAGCAATGTGCGTTGGTTGTCAAGAGGGAAGGTGCTTAGCCGTTTTGCGGCTTGCCTGAACGAAATCCGGACTTTCCTTGAAATGAAAGGCGTCGGGCATCCTGAGCTAGCCGACACCGAGTGGCTCCTCAAGTTTTACTATCTCGTAGATCTGACTGAACATCTGAACCAGCTCAACGTGAAAATGCAAGGCATTGGAAATACAGTGTTATCCCTTCAACAAGCTGTATTTGCTTTTGAAAACAAGCTGGAGCTTTTCATCACGGATCTTGAAACAGGTCGTTTACTACATTTTGAAAAACTGAGCCAATTTAAAGATGCATGCACAGCAAGTGAGCCCATTCAAAACGTTGATCTCCACCAGCTAGCTGGCTGCACATCCAGTCTCCTACAGTCCTTCAAAGCACGCTTTGGAGAATTTCGTGAGCACACTCGTCTTTTTAAGTTCATCACCCATCCAAACGAGTGTTCACTGAACACAGCCGACCTGAATTACATCCCTGGTGTCTCCGTCAGAGATTTTGAAGCAGAAGTGGCTGACCTGAAGGCCTCAGACATGTGGGTGAATAAGTTCAAGTCACTGAATGAAGATTTGGAAAGAATCACACGACAGAAAGCGGAGTTGGCGAGCAAGCACATGTGGACAGAAATGAAAAAACTCCAACCCGAAGACCAGCTGATTCTCAAAACTTGGAACGCGCTTCCTGTCACATACCACACACTGCAGCGTGTGAGTATTGCTGTATTGACCATGTTTGGATCTACGTATGCATGTGAGCAGTCATTCTCACATCTTAAAAACATCAAGTCCAACCTACGATCACGTTTAACGGATGAAAGCCTCAACGCTTGCATGAAGCTTAACCTCACCAAGTACCAACCCGACTACAAAGTACCAACCCGACTACAAAGACATCAGCAAATCCATGCAGCACCAGAAGTCGCATTAATGGTGAGTGTTATAACAACATTATTTAAAAGAATAAATTCAGAGGCTTATTATACTGACATTTAGTTGAATTCACTTTTAAAATATATTATATGGCTCTCACTGAAATAAATTTCCAATTTTTTTGCTTTCATGGCTCTCTTAGTCAAAAAGGTTCCCGACCCCTGCCCTAGGGGGTAAACCCTACAGAGTCAGACTGATAACTTTAATCTAAATTATCTTATGGTTAAATTTTGATTTAAAGCTTTCGTTACTGCAGTAATTCATATTCTTAGTTTTTTCGGTAAAGTCCCGTTGAAGAGAAACAACAAAACGTCGTGAGAATTTTTTATTGTGTTATATATATTTTATTATTTTGTTGTTTCTCTTCAACGTGACTTTACCGAAAAAACTAAGAATATATCTTATGGTTGTTATTGTTTGACTTGCGTCCCACTGGGATTTTTGCACGCGGCGTTGATATTCGGTGCTTTTCCTGGAAGGCTTTTTGCTGGTTTTTTTTCTCCTGGATTTTTCAGTTTGCGCTGAAGTCACTTTCAGACATTTCTTGTTCGTGTTTTGTTGCGGTAGCACCCGAGTCCAGAGTCGCATGGCTCACAGGGATCTCTACCTCATGAATGAAATGAAAACTGAAACTGGGTAGGTGACACGCCGATGGCTTTTGCCTGCGGTGCGGATTCATCCAGCGGTGGATCGCCTCTGACTCCACCTCGTGGTGGTGGGAGGGAGTGGTAGGTGAGGTGGGGGGTCGCGTGACGTCACACCAAGGAATCGATTTCTCCAGCTCAACCCCCCGATTACGATTCCCATCCGTTTGGATAAATCGATTCGGAGGGATCGATTCTGGTCGTTAACTCGGGAATCGTCGGCACCAAAGCCGGGTTCACGCCCCCCTCTCACGGGTCGCCAGCACGAGAGTGACGTCACGTTCCGCGGATTGCGTGACGTCACGGTCCGCGGATTACGTGACGTCACGCTCTGCGGATTACGTGACGTCACGCTCTGCGGATAACGTGACGTCACGTTCCGCGGATTACGTGACGTCACGTTCCGCGGATTACGTGACGTCACGCATGTCGCACTGGGTTTCACGTCAGTTTTCAGTTTATTTATTTTGGTATAGCCCTGTGAGCCATTCGGCTCTTGAATCGGGTGCAACCACAACAAACAAAAATAAAACTAAAACGCGAACAAGAGAAACATATTTGCGTCGCAGGTTCAGCAGAGATATAAACTGACGTCATCCCGACTTAAAGATTTCGTGACTGCAGGAAGTCAATTTCTTGGGACTTTCGGTAAAGTCACGGAGATAGTTCAAAGAAATTAATAATAATAAAAAAATCTACGAAATTTCAATCGCAACACAAGCAATCGTCATCAGGAGGTCTTTTAAATTAAAACATCCAATACGACGTCATCCCGTCCACCCAGCTGAATGACGTCACCGCAATGGGCTATACATTGACGTCACTCCTCTGCCAAACTAAGGCGATGACATCATCGCACCGGGCTATAAAGTGACGTCACTGTTCTGCCTGGCAAAGGCGATGACATGACCTCACTGGGCAATACATTGACGTCACTCTTCTGCCTGTAAAAGGCGATGAAATTACCGCTCTGGGCTATAAAGTGACGTCACTATTCTGTCTGGCTAAAGCGATGACGTCACCGCATTGGGTTATAAAGTGAGGTCACTCTTCTGTCTGATGAGGCGATGACGTCATCGCACCGGGCTATAAAGTGACGTCACTCCACTGCGTGGCTCAGGCGATGACGTCACCGCACCGGGCCATGGCGGACGAGGAGGACGATTTCATGGTAACCGCGAACGCCGCCACAGACAAAGCGGCACCGTGTAGCCTCTAGCACGCTGTAGGGGCAAGTGCTGTACGGGCAGGTGCTGTAGGGGATGGTGCTGTAGGGGATGGTGCTGTAGGGGATAGTGCTGTAGGGGATGGTTCTGTAGGGGCAGGTGCTGTAGGGGCAGGTGCTGTAGGGGATGGTGCTGTAGGGGATGGTGCTGTAGGGGAGGGTGCTGTAGGGGCTGGTGCTGTAGGGGATGGTGCTGTAGGGGCAGGTGCTGTAGGGGCAGGTGCTGTAGGGGATGGTGCTGTAGGGGCAGGTGCTGTAGGGGCAAGTGCTGTAGGGGCTGGTGCTGTAGGGGCTGGTGCTGTAGGGGATGGTGCTGTAGGGGATGGTGCTGTAGGGGCAGGTGCTGTAGGGGCAAGTGCTGTAGGGGATAGGGCTGTAGGGGATGGTGCTGTAGGGGCTGGTGCTGTAGGGGCAAGTGCTGTAGGGGATGGTGCTGTAGGGGCTGGTGCTGTAGGAGCAGGTGCTGTAGGGGCTGGTGCTGTAGGGGATGGTGCTTTAGGGGATGGTGCTGTAGGGGCAGGTGCTGTAGGGGCAAGTGCTGTAGGGGCAACTGCTATAGGGGATGGTGCTGTAGGGGCAAGTGCTGTAGGGGATGGTGTTGTAGGGGATGGTGTTGTAGGGGATGGTGCTGTAGGGGCAGGTGCTGTAGGGGATGATGCTGTAGGGGATGGTGCTGTAGGGGCAAGTGCTGTAGGGGATGGTGCTGTAGGGGCAAGTGCTGTAGGGGCTGGTGCTGTAGGGGCTGGTGCTGTAGGGGATGGTGCTGTAGGGGCAAGTGCTGTAGGGGCAAGTGCTGTAGGGGCTGGTGCTGTAGGGGCTGGTGCTGTAGGGGCTGGTGCTGTAGGGGCAAGTGCTGTAGGGGCAGGTGCTGTAGGGGATAGGGCTGTAGGGGATGGTGCTGTAGGGGATGGTGCTGTAGGGGCAAGTGTTGTAGGGGATGGTGCTGTAGGGGCAGGTGCTGTAGGGGCTGGTGCTGTAGGGGATGGTGCTGTAGGGGCAGGTGCTGTAGGGGCAAGTGCTGTAGGGGCTGGTGCTGTAGGGGCTGGTGCTGTAGGGGATGGTGCTGTAGGGGATGGTGCTGTAGGGGCAGGTGCTGTAGGGGCAAGTGCTGTAGGGGATAGGGCTGTAGGGGATGGTGCTGTAGGGGATGGTGCTGTAGGGGCAAGTGTTGTAGGGGATGGTGATGTAGGGGCTGGTGCTGTAGGGGCAGGTGCTGTAGGGGCTGGTGCTGTAGGGGATGGTGCTGTAGGGGATGGTGCTGTAGGGGCAGGTGCTGTAGGGGCAAGTGCTGTAGGGGCAACTGCTATAGGGGATGGTGCTGTAGGGGCAAGTGCTGTAGGGGATGGTGTTGTAGGGGATGGTGTTGTAGGGGATGGTGCTGTAGGGGCAGGTGCTGTAGGGGATGATGCTGTAGGGGATGGTGCTGTAGGGGATGGTGCTGTAGGGGCAAGTGCTGTAGGGGCAGGTGCTGTAGGGGATGGTGCTGTAGGGGCAAGTGCTGTAGGGGCAGGTGCTGTAGGGGCAGGTGCTGTAGGGGATGGTGCTTTAGGGGCAGGTGCTGTAGGGGATGGTGCTTTAGGGGATGGTGCTGTAGGGGCAGGTGCTGTAGGGGCAAGTGCTGTAGGGGATGGTGCTGTAGGGGCAGGTGCTGTAGGGGCAGGTGCTGTAGGGGATGGTGCTGTAGGGGCAGGTGCTGTAGGGGCAAGTGCTGTAGGGGCTGGTGCTGTAGGGGCTGGTGCTGTAGGGGATGGTGCTGTAGGGGATGGTGCTGTAGGGGCTGGTGCTGTAGGGGCAAGTGCTGTAGGGGATAGGGCTGTAGGGGATGGTGCTGTAGGGGATGGTGCTGTAGGGGCAAGTGTTGTAGGGGATGGTGCTGTAGGGGCTGGTGCTGTAGGAGCAGGTGCTGTAGGGGCTGGTGCTGTAGGGGATGGTGCTGTAGGGGATGGTGCTGTAGGGGCAGGTGCTGTAGGGGCAAGTGCTGTAGGGGCAACTGCTATAGGGGATGGTGCTGTAGGGGCAAGTGCTGTAGGGGATGGTGTTGTAGGGGATGGTGTTGTAGGGGATGGTGCTGTAGGGGCAGGTGCTGTAGGGGATGATGCTGTAGGGGATGGTGCTGTAGGGGCAAGTGCTGTAGGGGATGGTGCTGTAGGGGCAAGTGCTGTAGGGGCTGGTGCTGTAGGGGCTGGTGCTGTAGGGGATGGTGCTGTAGGGGCAAGTGCTGTAGGGGCAAGTGCTGTAGGGGCTGGTGCTGTAGGGGCTGGTGCTGTAGGGGCTGGTGCTGTAGGGGCAAGTGCTGTAGGGGCAGGTGCTGTAGGGGATGGTGCTGTAGGGGATGGTGCTGTAGGGGATGGTGCTGTAGGGGCAAGTGTTGTAGGGGATGGTGCTGTAGGGGCAGGTGCTGTAGGGGCTGGTGCTGTAGGGGATGGTGCTGTAGGGGCAGGTGCTGTAGGGGCAAGTGCTGTAGGGGCTGGTGCTGTAGGGGCTGGTGCTGTAGGGGATGGTGCTGTAGGGGATGGTGCTGTAGGGGCAGGTGCTGTAGGGGCAGGTGCTGTAGGGGATGGTGCTGTAGGGGATGGTGCTGTAGGGGATGGTGCTGTAGGGGCAAGTGTTGTAGGGGATGGTGATGTAGGGGCTGGTGCTGTAGGGGCAGGTGCTGTAGGGGCTGGTGCTGTAGGGGATGGTGCTGTAGGGGATGGTGCTGTAGGGGCAGGTGCTGTAGGGGCAAGTGCTGTAGGGGCAACTGCTATAGGGGATGGTGCTGTAGGGGCAGGTGCTGTAGGGGATGGTGTTGTAGGGGATGGTGTTGTAGGGGATGGTGCTGTAGGGGCAGGTGCTGTAGGGGATGATGCTGTAGGGGATGGTGCTGTAGGGGATGGTGCTGTAGGGGCAAGTGCTGTAGGGGCAGGTGCTGTAGGGGATGGTGCTGTAGGGGCAAATGCTGTAGGGGCAGGTGCTGTAGGGGCAGGTGCTGTAGGGGATGGTGCTTTAGGGGCAGGTGCTGTAGGGGATGGTGCTTTAGGGGATGGTGCTGTAGGGGCAGGTGCTGTAGGGGCTGGTGCTGTAGGGGATGGTGCTGTAGGGGCTGGTGCTGTAGGGGCTGGTGCTGTAGGGGATGGTGCTGTAGGGGCAGGTGCTGTAGGGTCAAGTGCTGTAGTGGATGGTGCTGTAGTGGCACGTGCTGTAGGGGATGGTGATGTAGGGGCTGGTGCTGTAGGGGCAGGTGCTGTAGGGGCTGGTGCTGTAGGGGATGGTGCTGTAGGGGATGGTGCTGTAGGGGCAGGTGCTGTAGGGGCAAGTGCTGTAGGGGCAACTGCTATAGGGGATGGTGCTGTAGGGGCAAGTGCTGTAGGGGATGGTGTTGTAGGGGATGGTGCTTTAGGGGCAGGTGCTGTAGGGGATGATGCTGTAGGGGATGGTGCTGTAGGGGATGGTGCTGTAGGGGCAAGTGCTGTAGGGGCAGGTGCTGTAGGGGATGGTGCTGTAGGGGCAAGTGCTGTAGGGGCAGGTGCTGTAGGGGCAGGTGCTGTAGGGGATGGTGCTTTAGGGGCAGGTGCTGTAGGGGATGGTGCTTTAGGGGATGGTGCTGTAGGGGCAGGTGCTGTAGGGGCTGGTGCTGTAGGGGATGGTGCTGTAGGGGCTGGTGCTGTAGGGGCTGGTGCTGTAGGGGCAGGTGCTGTAGGGTCAAGTGCTGTAGTGGATGGTGCTGTAGTGGCACGTGCTGTAGGGGATGGTGCTGTAGGGGAAAGTGGCTGTTAGTAGGTGGGTGGCCAGCACCACGCCCGGCCGCCTTTGTCTCTCCAGTGGCGATGTTCACACACTACACCAGTTACTCGTTTGAGGCTGAGTCGACCTAGGGGAGGCCCAGGACTGGTTCAAATAGTCGTCACCGGTGATGGCCATGATCGGGAATCGAACTCGGGTTTCCAGGTTCATAGCGCAGCGTAGCGCAAACCACTACACTACCGCTCCCCACACACACACAGACACACACACAGACACACAACAACAACAACAACCGCCATTCGCCACTAAGTGGCGGTGACGTCACCACGACGCTTGTGCCAGGCTATGTGCACCCTGAGGCCACGTGAAGTGTCGAACGCCCGCTGGCAGGAGGTCACGGGGCAGACCCAGGTGCCACGGGTCGACTGACTGAGATGACTGGCTGATGCACCACCTGTGCCCCCTACTGTGCCAACCTGCTGTGCTTTAGCCACCCGGCGCTCCGCTCGTTGTTGTGAGCGTTGCTCCTCCGCCCTCCGTTGTTGTTGGAGGGCGACTGCCTCCAACTGCCCAGTAGCATCCTTCACGAGCCTCCTCCACAGAGGCCGATCTTGACACCGCTGGTACCAGTCATCGGCAAGTCCGCTCAGCTCCACGTCCTCCTGTACCACATCACTCCATCTCTTCTCTAGCCCGTGCCGCGCCCGCTTAGCCCCCTCAATCCGGCCAAACAAAAGCTGTTTCGGCATGCGGTGGCTGGGCATGCGGGCTACATGACCCAGCCATCGCAGCCTTGCCTGCCGGAGGAGCTCACCGATGGGACCCTGCCCAGATCTTTCAAGGATTTGTGAGCTCCTCACACAATCCAGTCTGGTTAAACCCAGGATGGATCGTAGGCAGGCCAGCCTAAATGTTTCTAACCGGCGAAGATGTTCCATTAGGGGGGTCCACGTTTCGCAAGCGTAGAGAAGGGAGGGAATGACCGTGGCCGAGAAGACCTGAAGCATAGTGCGGAGCGACAGACCAGGTAGCTTCCACACAGCGTTACGCAACCGATGAAAAGATATTGCCGCTCGACTGATTCGGAGTGAGACCTCTGCTGTTAAACTGGAGCCAGTCATAAGCACACTGCCCAGGTATGGGAAACTCTCCACTCTCTCCACAACTGCCCCATCACAGACACACACACACAGACACACACACACACAGACACACACACACAGACACACACACACAGACACACACACACAGACACACACACACAGACACACACACACAGACACACACACACAGACACACACACACAGACACACACACAGACACAGACAGCATGCTAACCACTACACTACCGCTCCCAACACACACACACAAACACACAGACACACACACACAGACACACACACAGACACAGACAGCATGCTAACCACTACACTACCGCTCCCCACACACACACACACAGACACACACACACAGACACACACACACAGACACAGACACACACACACAGACACACACACACAGACAGCATGCTAACCACTACACTACTGCTCCCCACACACACACACAACAACAACCGCCATTCGCCACTAAGTGGCGGTGACGTCACCACGACGCTTGTGCCAGGCCATGTGCACCTTGAGTCCACGTGAAGTGTCAAACGCCCGCTGGCAGGTCACGGGGCAGACCCAGCAGGTGCCACGGGTCGACTGACTGAGATGACTGAGATGACCGGCTGGTGCACCACCTGTGCCCCCTACTGTGCCAACCTGCTGTGCTTTAGCCACCCGGCGCTCCGCTCGTTGTTGTGAGCGTCGCTCCTCCGCCCTCCGTTGTTGTTGGAGGGCGACTGCCTCCAACTGCCCAGTAGCGTCCTTCACGAGCCTCCTCTACAGAGGCCGATCTTGACACCGCTGGTACCGGTCATCGGCAAGTCCACTCAGCTCCACGTCCTCCTGTACCACATCACTCCATCTCTTCTCTAGCCCCGTGCCTCCTGTACCACATCACTCCATCTCTTCTCTAGCCCGTGCCGCGCCCGCTTAGCCCCCTCGATCCGGCCGAACAAAAAGCTGTTTCTGCATGCGGTGGCTGGGCATGCGGGCTACATGACTGCCCCATCATATGTCGTCGTTGGTGACGTCATCGTTGTTGTTGACATCGTCGTTGTTGACGTCATCATTGTCGTTGTTGAGGTCGTCATCATTGTTTGAGTTTTGTTGTTGTTGTTGACCGCAGGGCGAGGAGGAGGGCGAGGAGGGGGCCGTCGCCACCGCCACCGCCTCCTCCAGCGGGCAGCGCGGAAGACACCGCCTCTTCTCTAAAGAACGTGAGCGGGGGGGGGGGTGTACGTGTGTGTACGTGTGTACGTGTGTGTGTGTACGTGTGTGTGTGTACATGTGTGTGTGTACATGTGTGTGTGTGTGTGTACATGTGTGTGTGTACATGTGTGTGTGTGTGTACATGTGTGTGTGTGTGTACGTGTGTGTGTGTGTGTACGTGTGTGTGTGTACATGTGTACGTGTGTGTACATGTGTACGTGTGTGTACATGTGTACATGTGTACGTGTGTGTACATGTGTACGTGTGTGTACATGTGTACGTGTGTGTGTGTACGTGTGTGTGTGTACACGTGTACGTGTGCGTACGTGTATACATGTGTGTGTGTGTACACACGTACGTGTGCGTGTTTACATGTGTATATGTGTACGTGTGTACGTGTGTGTGTACACACGTTTGTGAAGCGTCTACGTGCTGCTCGAATTGCAAGACCCTCGCTCGTTTATCAAATTAATATTTATTTAACATTTCTTTCTCGTCTTGCAAAACACTCGCAGACCAAGTTACTCGCATTCCAAGGTTTTACTGTAATAGTGTAGTAGTGTGTAGTGTAGTAGTATGTAGTGTATAGTTGCGAGGTGTGTAGTGTATAGTAGTGTATAGTGTAGTGTATAGTGTATAGTAGTGAGGTGTGTAGTGTATAGTAGTGTATAGTATAGTGTAGTGTATAGTGTATAGTAGCGAGGTGTGTTGTAGTGTAGTATGTAGTGTATAGTGTAGTATGTAGTGTATAGTGTAGTATGTAATGCATAGTGTAGTATGTAGTGTATAGTGGAGTGTATGTAGTGTACTGTATAGTGTAGTGTATATTGTAGTGTATAGTAGCGAGTAGTGTAGTGTAGTAGTGTATAGTGTAGTATGTAGTGTATAGTGTATATTAGCAAGTAGAGTGTAGTGTATAGTGTTGTAGTGTGTAGTGTAGTATATAGTAGCGAGGTATATAGTATGTAGTGTATAGTAGCGAGTAGCGTATAGTGTAGTGTATAGTAGTGTATAGTGTTGTAGTGTGTAGTATAGTAGCGAGGTGTGTAGTGTATAGTCTATAGTAGCGAGTAGTGTATAGTGTAGTGTATAGTAGTGTAGAGTGTAGTCTATAGTAGTGTACAGTAAAACCTTGGATTGCGAGCATGATTCGTTCTGGAAGCGTGTTTGTATTCCAAGGCACTCGCAGGCCAAGTTACTCGCAATCCAAGGTTTTACTGAAACAAAGTTGTATTGGTGTTGTTTTTGTGTTGAATGAACTTGCTGACCACTCCTGGACATCTGCGACAAAGAGCTGCATGGCTCTTCAGATTTAGTTTTTCCTCCTCCTCCTGTGCAGTGCGCTGTATGATGTACGGATTTGGAGATGACCAGAACCCCTACACGGAGTGTGTGGATCTACTGGAGGATCTCCTCACAGAGTTCATCACCGAGACGGTGAGAGGTCCACGCTCACCACTCTCACACTCGCCACTCTCACACTCACCACTCTCACCACTCTCACACTCACCACTCTCACGCTCACCACTCTCAACGCTCACCACTCTCACGCTCACTACTCTCACGCCCACCACTCTCACACTCACCACTCTCACACTCACCACTCTCACGCTCATCACACTCACCACTCTCACCACTCTCACAACTCACCACTCACCACTCTCACACTCACTACTCTCACACTCACCACTCTCACACTCACCACTCTCACACTCACCAATCTCACACTCACCACTCTCACGCTCATCACACTCACCACTCTCACCACTCTCACAACTCACCACTCACCACTCTCACACTCACTACTCTCACACTCACCACTCTCACACTCACTACTCTCACACTCACTACTCTCACACTCACCACTCGCCACTCTCACACTCACCACTCTCACGGTCACCACTCTCACGCTGACCACTCTCACACTCACCACTCGCCACTCTCACACTCACCACTCTCACACTCACCACTCTCACGCTGACCACTCTCACACTCACCACGCTCACCACTCTTACGCTCGCCACTGTCACGCTCACCCCTCTCACACTCAACACACTCGCCACACTCACTCTCACCACTCTCACCACTCTCACACTCACCACGCTCACCACTCTCACGCTCACCACTCTCACCACTCTCACCACTCTCACCACTCTCACACTCTCCACGCTTACCACTCTCACGCTCACCACTCTCACCACTCTCACGCTCACCACTCTCACCACGCTCACCACTCTCACGCTCACCACTCTCACGCTTACCACTCTCACGCTCACCACTCTCACGCTCACCACTCTCACGCTCACCACTCTCACGCTCACCACTCTCACGCTCACCACTCTCACGCTCACCACTCTCACGCTCACCACACTCACCACTCTCACACTCACCACTCTCATGCTCACCACACTCACCACTCTCACCACTCTCACGCTCACCACTCTCACCACTCTCACCACTCACACTCACCACGCTCACCACTCTCGCGCTCCCCACTCTCACGCTCACCACTCTCACGCTCACCACTCTCACGCTCACCACTCTCACGCTCACCACTCTCACGCTCACCACTCTCACGCTCACCACTCTCACGCTCACCACTCTCACGCTCACCACTCTCACGCTCACCACTCTCACGCTTACCACTCTCACGCTTACCACGCTCACCCACTTTCACGCTCACCCACTCGTCCATTCACTCAGCCGTTCACTTTCACTGTGGGTCTCCTTTTTTAGTGTCGTTTCTTTCTCTCAGACTCACAGGGCTATCCCTGCCTCTCACTCTCAGACTGACAGCGCTATCCCCGTCTCTCTCTCAGACTCACAGCGCTATCCCCGTCTCTCTCTCAGACTCACAGCGCGATCCCTGTCTCTCTCTCTCTCTGACTCACAGGGCTATCCCCGTCTCTCTCACTCTCTCTCAGACTCACAGGAATATCCCTGCCTCTCTCTCTTGATCTCAGACTCACAGGGCTATCCCTGACTCTCTCTCTCTCTCACTCTCTCAGACTCACAGCACTATCCCTGCCTCGCTCTCACTCTCTCAGACTCACAGCGCTATCCCCGTCTATCTCACTCTCGCTCTTTCAGACTCACAGGGCTATCCCTGCCTCTCTCTCCCAGACTTACAGGGCTATCCCTCCCTCTCTCATCTCTCATTCAGACTCACAGGGCTATCCCTGCCTCTCTCTCTCAGACTCACAGCGCTATCCCTGCCACTCTCTCTCTCTCAGACTCACAGGGCTATCCCTCCCTCTCTCCCTCTCACTCAGACTCACAGGGCTATCCCTTCCTCTCTCTCGCGCGCTCAGACTTACAGGGCTATCCCTGCCTCCCTCTCTCTCTCAGACTCACAGGGCTATCCCTGCCTCTCTCTCTCTCACACTCTCAGACTCACAGCGCTATCCCCGTCTATCTTACTCTCACTCTTTCAGACTCACAGGGCTATGCCTGCCTCTCTCTCTCAGACTCACAGCGCTATTCCTGCCTCTCTCTCTCTCTCAGACTCACAGGGCTATCCCTCCCTCTCTCTCTTGCTCTCTCTCTCTCAGACTCACAGCGCTATCCCCGTCTTTCTCACTCTCGCTCTTTCAGACTCACAGGGCTATCCCTGCCTCTCTCTCCCAGACTTACAGGGCTATCCCTCCCTCTCTCATCTCTCATTCAGACTCACAGGGCTATCCCTGCCTCTCTCTCTCAGACTCACAGCGCTATCCCTGCCACTCTCTCTCTCTCAGACTCACAGGGCTATCCCTCCCTCTCTCCCTCTCACTCAGACTCACAGGGCTATCCCTGCCTCTCTCTCTCTCTCAGACTCACAGCGCTATCCCTGCCTCTCTCTCTCAGACTCACAGGGCTATCCCTGCCTCTCTCTCTCTCCCTCAGACTCACAGGGCTATCCCTGCCACTCTCACCCTCTCAGACTCACAGGGCTATCCCTGCCTCTCTCTCACTCTCTCAGACTCACAGCGCTATCCCTGCCTCTCTCTCTCTCTCTCTCTCAGACTCACAGGGCTATCCCTGCCTCGCTCTCTCTCTCACTCTCTCAGACTCGCAGTGCTATCCCCGTCTATCTCACTCTCGCTCTTTCAGACTCACAGGGCTATCCCTGCCTCTCTCTCTCAGACTCACAGGGCTATCCCTGCCTCTCTCCCTCTCACTCAGACTCACAGGGCTATCCCTGCCTGTCTCTCTCAGACTCACAGGGCTATCCCTGCCTCTCTCTCTCTCTCTCAGACTCACAGCACTATCCCTGCCACTCTCTCTCTCTCTCTCAGACTCACAGGGCTATCCCTGCCTCTCTCTCTCACTCTCTCAGACTCACAGGGCTATCCCTGCCTCTCTCTCTCAGACTCACAGGGCTATCCCTGCCTCTCTCTCTCTCACTCAGACTCACAGGGCTATCCCTGCCTCTCTCTCTCAGACTCACAGGGCTATCCCTGCCTCTCTCTCACTCTCTCAGACTCACAGGGCTATCCCTGCCTCTCTCTCTCAGACTCACAGCGCTATCCCTGCCTCTCTCTCTCTCAGCGCGCTCGGGGGAGGCCGCATCCAGGTGGGGCTCCGCGCCCTCACCTGGAACAATGGGGGCCTGATTTTTCATCGTTTCAGGCCGGTCCCGAGAGAGAGTTTCACGGAGGGAAAAAACAGACCAAGCTCCCCTCCCTTTCCTCCCGGTTCGGTTTATTCCCCCCCCACTTTATTTGGTTTTTATTTTTTTTCTCCCCTAGTCCTTTTCATTTTTTTTTCCTTTACTCACTGGCCGCTCGAGCGAGAATACGCCTCGATCAACCCGTGAGTTTCACGCCGGGTTACAACGACGACGACGGCAGCAGCAGCAGCAGCAGCACCGACAAGGACAACGACAAGGACAACGAGAACACGCGCGCAGGGGTGCTGTAGCCGGCTGCCATCATGGCAACACGCACGAAGCTGGAGAGCCTCACGCGGCAGCACGCGATCGCGGCGTTCCCTCCATCGGAGGTGACCGTCGAGGCGGTCGCGACCGCGGTGGCCGAGCGCGCGTGGGCTGCGCCGCCGTCCTCTCGCCGCCCAGCGAGAAAACCGCGGAGTCACCGCGTGTACGTGGCGGAGGAGGAGGAGGAGGAGGAGATGGTGGCGCGCCTGGTGGAAGCGGGGCTGAGCGTCGGGGAGGGCCTGTTCCTGACGCGCACCCAGCTCGCGACGCCCGCAGTCCCGGGTGCCGATTTCGGGCGCGCCTCCGTTCCTGCCGAGCGCGGACATACAGCGCGAGCTGATGAGGTTCGGCACGGCGGTGTCGAAGATCACCGCGCGTCCCTCACGCTCGACGAACCCGAGGATATAGGAATAGGCTTTACCCTTTTAACTGGCACAATATTATTATCAGAGTTGTCTCCTTTTTTGTTTGCATTTTGACTGCTTGCGTTGTGGTTATTGCAAACATGATGCCTTGAATAAAGGTGCCAGTTTTTGTGCCAGTTAAAAGGGTAAAGCCTATTCCTATATCTTGTTTCTGGCAAAGGAGGTCTCATAATGGACCCGAGGATGGCGTGCGTGTAATGACGCTGCAGCGCCATACTTTTACGATTCTAAAGGGGGGGCGAAACCGAGTTGAATGTAGCCCTTAAGTATCCGATACGGGGGCACGTCTACGCGGTTTACACGTCCTCAGCCTTGCCGCGGTGTTTCGGGTGCGGTGGAACCGGCCACACCCGGAGAAACTGCCCCAACAAGAAAAGCGGGAACGCCGCTCCTGCCGTGCCACCCGCGCCGGCGCGTGGGGAGCAGCGTCAGCAACAGCAGCCGGTGCAGCGGCAACGGCCGCAGCCGCAGCAGCAACAGCAGTGGCAGCAGGAGCAGCTGCGACAGCTGCCACTGCGCCAGCGACTGGAGTTACGCGTCGGTCAAGCAGGGGAAGGAGGTCCCTGGCGGGGGAGATCCTCGCCTTCCTCCGGGGAAAACTTTGGGAGGAGGGCGAAACCCCCTGCAAAACGTTCCCCGACGTCCCGGCCTTCCTGGCGACGGCGAGTAAGATCAGCCGGAACCCAGACGCGTTCGGGTGCACCTCAAAAGAGCGCCACCGCGTGGAAGCGCTGGCGACGAGACTCAAGGCGTCGTCCCGCGTCCCCCAGAAGCAGAAACCGGGCATAGACCTCCCTTGAACACCACAATGGCACCAGAAGTCCGCGTGGGGGTTTTCGACTGCAATGGTGCACGAAGCGTCGATAGGTGGCACCGGGTGCGCCGGCTGCTTCGAGATCAGAAAATCACGGTGGCGCTGTTACAGGAGACACACTTTGATGCCGCGCTGCGGCGCACGATGGAGGAGGCACGCGGTGATGACGGCGTGCTCACGGTCGTGGGGGGGGGGGGGAGGCTTTAATTGCACCCTCGCACCGGCCTTCGATAGGAACGGCCCCGAGCCCCACCCGGAGTCTGCGGGGGCGTGGGCCGCC